GCGAGCAAAGGGCGGCCGGGCGGACCCCGAGAATCCGGGGAGCTGGTGCTGCAAGTTGTGCACGGAGAGCACAAGAGATCCAAGCGAGATGGTCAGAGTCCGCGAGCCTCTGCGCTATCATTTATTCGCGCCAAGTAGCAGATCCCCCCGTGGGTGCCGCTTATTCCTCACATGAGTAAGTCGAAACAGAAGCCCTGAATTCCTCCAGCCTCAACGCTACCAACTGTATTCCATCGCCCGAGGTTGTTGCGGCTTCCCCTCACCCACGGCCACGGGGCCTGTTCACATTGCTCGCATTATGTTACGCCGGAACATCGCCTCGCGCTCCCCTTCCACCACCATCCTTCAGCACGCGCGACATATGCCCAGCTAATCCTACTGCGTAATGCGCTGCGTGCCCCACCCAAGATAGTCGTTTGCCTTTACGGAAAAAGTATCGCGGGACCTATTGTCATCCACAAATAATCCTTGATATCCGGCCCACCGATAGCGACACCCCTTCGCGTCCCGATGCTCCAGCATAGTTCGTACATAACGAGTATAGTCCCAACGCAGGCGATGCATGCCGTGTTGTCATGGGATGATATGTGCGTGCATGCAGGCTTCCGCATGCTACATGGAGCAATCCTGCTAGCCGCTTCCCGTTCCATCTCCTTGTCTCCCTGAGTCATTCGCGCTAGTCAGCTTCTCAATTGCTTTGACATCGGCCACTGTACCCCCGGCGCCTGCGATATGTCGTACACGACTATACTCCCGCGGGGAAGCATCCACGCATGCTGCGCCCCACGCCCTTGACCATCACCACGCACGCACGCACCCCTCCGACCCGGAGGGACACGAGAAGCGAACGCACTCGTCGTCGTCCCATTCATTCAGATACATGATGCAGTGGGCGTCCCTGAGATCACCTCGAGCCGCCCTCTCTCACGTGCGGACGCGCCTATCAAGCCGCACGCAGAGAGAGTGCCTGGACGATCTTTGCATGTGCATGTGCACCGTATCACCACACTGCGAAGGAGGCTTGCACGCGGCAAACCGAACCGACACGGCTTGATTCTGGCCCAGCGGGCCCACTTGGATGCTACACGTAATAGCACACCATCGGGTCGTGAAGTCCGCACCGGTCGCACGCGCACATAGGCTTGGCTGCGAAGCCGCGGCTGCTTCGCGCTTCCTCGCAACCGTCGCAGTGATGCGTCGCAGCGTACATCCTGGGGCCCGGACGATCAGCACCGCCGGAGCTCGCTAGGCGGCGGCGGACGAACCTTGAGGTGGTGTGGTGGCCCCATCTTCACACACCGGCACGTCCTCGCGGGATCGGAGCGCGCACTGCGCAGCGAAGCCCAAACCTTGCGCATGGATGGAATGCCGGAGGGTGAGGTAAGTGCTGATAGGTCGAGCGTGCCCGATGGCCGACTTACATACTGGTGTCCAGTGTGGAAGAGCTAAGAGGAGAGGATTTCACAGGGATATTATTGAATTGAAAGCAATCACGCTCGGCGTGCCAGGCCGGATCTGGCGTAGGGCTGGCGCTCTATATCCGCACTCGCGCAGCAGACGATGCCGCAATCGGCAGCGGGGCGGCTCGTTTCATATGTCGCAGGCGAGCGATATTCTGGGCTGCGAGGATAGCGGATCTCAGGTGTGCTGCGTTCTTGACACGAGCCGTACAAGTCGCCAAGGGGCCAGTTGCTTGTTTTTGATCGTCCAAACACCGGCCAAACATCTGCCGCATCAGTGCCAGAAAATTGCATCGGTTGAGCTTGTTTGGCAGGCCTCACCTCGCTCCTCGCTGCTCATCATCCCGAGACGCCAAGCTATAGAAGGCATCGCGGGCCCTAGATACCCATCTGAAATGAAATGAGTCCTTTGAATGGGAGAGAAGGAGGACAGACTCCACGGGCCTCGAGGATACCGAGCTTTCCTCGCAAGCGTGCGTTGGAACGTCATGATCGCCACGCGTTGCGAGCATGAAAAGATTTAGGTTGAGCTCGGGACGCAACTCAATTCAGTACCGGCCACGATGCAGAATGACGAAAGCACTGAATTGAAACAGTTGTGCGTGGCCACGAGTTGGCTAACGAATGCACGCAATGCAGCGCCCGTGCAAGCGCCCAGCTAGCGCAGAGAACGTGAAGAGTTGACGGCGCAGTCATGAGCAAAAAAAGGTCAATGTCAACCACCAGTCGGGAGCAGGGAAAATTTGATAGTCGATGCTGAATTCCATTGATGAGATGATCAGACATCGCGCTGAAACTCTGCGGGGTCACGGGCATAGTGACGGTATGGGGTAGCTCGCTTCCCGTGCTTCGCGCACTGCCGGGCGCGGACGCCCAGATCAATCCCTGGCTGCCTCAGTATTCCAACGCTCGTCCTTACCTCCAGCTTCAGGGGTACCTTTGAGCTTCGCACTCGCGCGATTGGCCGGTGGCCGCATCACCCAAGTTCAAAGCTTCGCTTAGTCACACCGTCGACGTACGTACGTACGCAACAGAGCGCGGGCACACCCAACTAGGCATGGCATGGTCCGTCCACGCGCCGCGAACCGTCCAATGACCTCCCGCGCGCGCGTCATGCGGACGCGCACATCACTATCACCTGCGTATGTTCCGGAGCCTCAGCTAAGTTTGTCGGCGAAGAAGCCAGCCACGCTAGTCGAAGCCGCCCGTGGACAGGGACGGCGGGAGTGCGTCTGTGCCTGCCCCACAGGTCACATTGATGTTGTCCGTCAGCTGCAGCTCAATCGTCGAGCCGGACGTGAAGGCGTCCCAGTCGAGGTAGCAATTCGAACCCCACGGCTGCCCATCGATCGTGACGCTCTGGCACGCGCATCTAGTCAGTTTCCGCAAGGAGCTTTGCACGCGCGTGGGACGCACTTCGACGAACACCTGACCTCCCGTGCCGTTCGCTGGGTTCCCGGCGAAGCCGTTAGCGATGATCGTCGTCGTCTTGTTGAAGATAGGGTTGTAGAAGGAAATTTGCGGGAACCAGGGTGACGAGAGGAGATATTGACGAGTGGCGGGCACGGGGTATAGTCCTGCCAGAAGGAAGGTGGCCCACGTTCCCATTGCGCCTGCAATACGTACATGCGGCACCAGTCCATTTTACACTGGCAGAATAGACGCACCCGAGTCTACGGCTCATACGTCAGTTGTGAACTCCTTGCGCTAATCTCAATGTAAAAATAACACACCGTCGTTCCCAGGGATGCCGTTCACCGATGTGTTGAAGTATTGTGCGATAACTTGTCTGGAACGCTGCGTGCTCAGCCCGGGCCGGTTGGCGTAATGGTACATGAACGGAATCTGCATCGATGGCTCGTCGGTCTCGTCAAAGTAATGCTAGACCATGATAGGCGTTTAGCGACGGGAATGCAGCGTGGCAGTTGGCAATGGACGTACCTCGTCAAAGAGGAAGTCGAGCCTCGATATAAAAGCGTCCGGTCCTCCTTGCAGCTCGACCAACTTGGCACCATCTTGAGGAACGAACTATGTGTGGCGATGAGCTCGAATGCATGGACGGTACATGCTCGCACGCTTTCACCTGTGAATACTGTGTGAAAGCGAATCGTTACATCTCGACACGGTGAACACTGATCAAGGCCGTACCACCAATGGGGAGCTCTCGTAAAATCCATCTTTGTTGGCGGCATTCAAGTAACACGTTGATTGAGTCGGATCATTCACGCTGCAGTGTCTAGGGTCCGTGTAGTTGAACGTCCCGTTCAAGAAACGAGGCTATCATAGGTCAATCGAAGGTTTAGTGAAGTAACAGAATGTGATAGATAACTTACTTGCATCATCCCCACAATATCGGGGCGACCAGGGACAGTAGTGTTGGGGTTCCATACATTGATGTAGTTGGCCGCTCGTTCTGCGTACTGTCCAATCCTATGAGATCCAGTAACCATATCAAGAGACCGACGCTCCGACACATACCTTCTGTCCATCTGCAGTGTTACCCATGGTCTTGGCCACTTGTGATATCGCAAAATCGTCGAACGAATACTGGCGCGCACATCAGCGCGTGCGGGTCATACGAGTCTCGCCACCCCGCTCACCTCCAAAGTCCGCGACACCTGCTTCGTATTAGTGCCGCTTGGCTCCCAGAGATCTGACGGGATGTATCCTGTCACACATAGAACGTTAGCACGGCCTATTGGCGCACCTCATGAACACCGGCATCACACACCAATCGCCTTCCAGACATTTGCCTGACGCCCCTGGAGATCCCAGTTGGGTGGCTGGTCTTCGGCGTCGGCGAGCAAGGCCGAGTACAGAGCGCTTGTGGAGACGTTCAGCGCCTCAGCCTCGTTGTAGTACCTTCAAATACGGCACGCGCAGTATGGTCAGCTCATGTCAACTGAAGAGAACATGCGCGCGAAGCGAACTTGACCAAGAATTCGCCAAGGATAGGGTCTCCATCTGCGACAAGTAAGATTGCGTACAATGTCAAGTTTCAGCCGACATACTACTACCGCCTTGTATGAATTGCTGTTTGGTGGCACCACGGCATTCAGGAAGCCATCCTGTGACCAAGGAGTGCGCGTCACCTATCGTAAGCATTGTTATGAGTCGATGACTTACCTTCATGTTGCTGAATGTTGATAAGTCCGCGGATGATACGAGCGAAGTTGACTGGATCATGCAGTGACATAAGCGCGTAGAGGGCGCGAAATGTATCCCACTATTTGGCTCTGAGTCGCCGGCACTTGAATTGAAGGGACTAGTCACTTACGTTACAGTAGAACGAATCATAGTAAGGTTCAGTCGAGTTCCATAGCGGGTTTTCTCCTGTGTCTGAAATATCGATGTCAGATCACGTCATGGCAGCCGCACTCCCACACGACGTCCACTTACAATCCGCCGGCACCACATGAATTCTGTAAAGCGAGCTATAGAAGAGCTCGACAATCTCGCTATCCACGCCATCCGGGTCGACTTGAACGCGTCCCAAGATATCGTTCCACTCAGCTCTGGCAGCCGATTGGACCGCGTCGAAGTCCCAGTCCGGAATTTCTTCTTCAGCGTTCGAGCATGCTTGTTCCGCCGAGATAAAGGACACGCCCGCCCGAGCCTGGATGGAAGTGGTTCCTGAAACAAGGATAGTCAGCGCGGAGTTCTACATTTCCGATGAACGGGGATACCATTCGGATTAGGTGGAAACGTAAACAGCGCTCCTAGTTCGTCAACGAAACCTAGCACAAAAGTAGGGGGATAGTTGGTGCCTATCACTAGCCAGGACAAGAAGGCGCACCGAAATACAGTTGGTTGAGATCGACGCTGTATTGCACAGGATAATCTCCTAACCATGCGCCATATTCGACAGGCCCATCCTGAGAGCGTTTGATCGTCAGCAGGGTCAACAATAGCCCGATCAACGAATGACAGCAGATTTACGAATGTATAGCCATCGCCTTTGAAGTCCACGCACGTGTACACACGGTATCGTCCAGGTCCAAAGGACGCTTGGAATGTTGCGCTACCTGAAAGGCAGTTTGTCAAATACACGCTTACGCGTTAACCGAACGACTGACCAATGACCCGAGCAGTAGTGGAATTCAACGTCATTACGGGATTCGTGCTACTCTGCATGCCATCATCTGTGATGTCTACCAGCATCCGCGGATTGGCAGTGCCTTCGGGAAACGTATACCTGACATGCCAAGGAAGGGCTCAGCATACTTGGCTGATTGTTAAAACGCCGTACTGACCTATGAAGCGCCGTTCGTCTAGTGGCCGTCAGTTCCACACGGATACCGGTAGACTGCAATGTATAAGTTCGCATCAACAGTAGTCAGCGCGAGAAATCACGACCCACCAGATTGGTAGAGAAGTATCCAGGGGAAGCAGCGTCGTCCGGCGATCCTACATGCTGTCAATCAGAACGTTCTGGAGAAGATGCGCACAAGCGTACCATCTGGGAGGATATTTCGCAGGACTTTGCGTGACTCCAACGATGTAGGACATGCATAGAACGAGTCGTCCATAGGGCAGGATGCAAAAGCCCACAACTTGAAGTTCGACAAGGATACACCCTGAGTTTGCACTAAACATCAGACTCATCGTCCATTTGGCAGAACAAGCAGCTGACTCCGCCAGTTCCTTGATCATGCAGCTGGGAAAACCCAGTCGCATTATAGATCGGGTTTGCATCGTAACCTGCTTGCTACTCGCACATTAGCCCCGTCGCCGCAATATATGTATGATTGACCTACGTTTCCTGGTGAGTCGGTGTCCATGCCAACCTTCACCATGCCGTGGGGAAGAGTGGCACCTTACATGTAACTAAGCAATGGAATCAGATGAAGAGACAATGAGCTGACGCACCAGGAAAAACGTGTCCGCCATCTGTAGTTCCTATGAACATATTCACAAGGCCAGCTGGATCAAGGATCGGCGTCTGCCATCGCGACTGCAGCGCCGCCGATATCGAATGCGCTGCGATGATCAACAAGCTCGACGCAACGCGAGAATGCAGGTAAGGACGCATGATTGAGTCCCTAGCTTGAGCCCACCATGCATCCCTGCTATATAGTCCTCGATCACACCGATGGTCGTTTGCACCCGCCGCAGTGCTTCACGTCTCTTCGATTAGCATGGATTCGAGGACCCATGACCAGCCATTATGCCCACATGTACTTCGCGCTGCCAATGAAAGCATTTTACGCTACAGAAACACGCGACACGTGTAGGATGCACTGCTCACGGGACCGCGAAGTTACCGTTCTTGCAACAAGGATATGTCAACCTTACTTGAATGATGGGGCTCGATCAGTCATTGTCCCGAGCAGAAGACCTTAGTGCATTGGTTTTGATGGTTTTTATCCAGATTTATTGCCTGGAACTGAGGAGGCAAATTTAGACGAGTGGGGTTCTGATCATGATAATGTTCGGTCCGACATGCACGTGTGAATGTTGGCGATGGCTTCGTGCCTGGGAAAGATGAAGAAATGATGACAGCTACCATGAACGCACACGGGCAAGCTGACGCCGGATGTGAATGCATGGAACCCGGCAGGAATTGAAATCACTGCGCCGCATGTACTTATCGCGAGGTTGAAGACATGCTACACCGTCTACACCAGAAGTACAAGATGAACACTATCCAAACATCATTCGCTGAAAGCAGCAACTGTCAACGAGATCATGCACAATCAGAACATGTTAGCATACCTCATTTCAAACTGTTCCATCAGCTCCAACACCTGCGTCAAATGACTATATCCCAACACCTCCTGCTGCCCCGCAGCCAAGGCCCCAGCGGTCTTCACAACGTTCTTGATTTGCCGTCCATTGACCTTCCTCTCACCCAGATCACTCAGCTCCTCCCTGATCAGTCCTCCATCCGCCAAATCGACATTGACCTTGCGCATGAATGCCTTCCAGATCTGACGGCGCGCATCAGGAGTGAGGTCCGTATATTTGAGCGAGACGTGAATGCGGGACTGGAATGCCTCGTCGAACACTCGAACCCGGTTCGTAGTCAAGAAGAGGATTCCACGGAAATATCTAGTCAGGAATGCACATCAACATGATTAATGGGCTCCAAAAAGACCTTACTTACTCGAGCTGCCTTAGGAAGACGGCAACCATTGCATTTCTCTCGAGGTTATGCAACGAACGTTGCTCTAGGAAGACGTCCGCCTCATCGATGAGGACAACCGCATCCCATGCAGCCGACAACTTGAGCACGTTTGACAATTTGCTTTCCAACACTTGCGGTACGGTTCCGAGTTCACCAGCTCCTACGATATATAACGGCTCTGGAGAAATAGGTAGATGAGCATATTACATTGGGACAGCTCTCAATTTCCTCACTTCGCAAGTCTGTGCGGGATATCAGATCGAACAAAGTTAACACGAGATCTGACACTCACATTCAGTGATCGCCTCTGCCGTCAAGGTCTTGCCTGTGTTACTGATTAATGCGTGAAGACAATGCCAAATGAAGATGTGCACACCTATGCCGGGGCTGCCGAACAGGTTGACTACAAGCCCGAGACCTTTCCCATTCACAAAGTCGTCAAAACCAGATGCCGCACCCGCGTTGTACGATCCTACGAGTGTACGCAGAATCGTCTTGTGTTGGTCCGGAATGACCAGCTGCGAGAACACCCCGTCATTCCACTCAAACGTCTCAACATGATCGATCGCAAATTCGACTGTCCAACGAAGATCGCAATGTTAATTAAAAGCTCGGTAATCCGATCGTAACCACACTTACACCAGGATTTGTCAGACAAGCTGAACCCATAGACGATGGGTGTAGTGAGTAACAGCTCCTCTTCTGACAGATCGTTCACTTCCGTGGTCCACTGCTGAGTGCCTGAAGCTGCAAGGTCAGCATTGAGGGCATATCTGTCGATGTCACTTCCAGACAATGTCTTCAAGACCTTCGGCAGTTTCGTATAGCCTGGCATACTTTCTGCAAACGTCTCTGAGCATCAAGACAGAAGCATAAATCAATGATGTGAAAGGCAATAAGGATAATTGAACACGAACTGCGATCAATCATTACTCGCGATTTCACCTGTACAGAAGGGGCATTAGCTCACGCAAACTTCAGTGCTTTGTGAGGCCCAGGTGACACGCACACTTAGCTTTCCGTAGGAAGTTCCGACGAAGAGCCATGCCATGCCCCGGTACGCGAGGTGATGCATTCCACCAGCGATCGCGGCCCACCTTCTGCCGCGCTTGGTCAATCGCTCCTTCAAGCCCTCCACACCGCCAGGCCCGGCATAATATTTAATGGGGTAGACATGCAGGCTCGAAATCTTTCTCGCCCCCGTAAAGCCTTGGATTTCCAGCATCGTGCCGAGGTCTGCATAGCCGAATTTGTTCACCGAATCTGCCTGACCACCTGGCTCGGGGACATCTGCTTCTACATATTCTACCTTGAGCCGCCATAGGTATTCGCCATGTTGACCGTCATCATTGTTGCCAACTCTCAGACTTGTGGGATTGCGTGCGGAGTTCACTCCTCTCATAGTCTTCTTACAGAGCTCCGCGTGCTGCAAGCGGACAGCCCGTGGCTCGCCCGTGACGGGGCAAAGTGTGTAGAGAATGGCCTTGCGAGGGACATACAGTGCCCACAGAAGGTCGAACGTGATCTCGCCGTGACGAAGCCAGTGTGACAGCGTATCAAGGGTGGACGCGTAGGTTTCAGTGAGGTAGGTCAATAGGTGGCTGAGATGCGCGACTTTGAGATGGATGGAGTCATCGTCCGGGGCGGCATCAGCCGCAGTAATCAACTTGGCTTGACAGGTTTGGAGCTCGGGGAGCCATGCTAAAAATGTTTCCGGATTCATCTGACGAGAATAAGCATCACGTTGAAAATGGGCAATGGAGGACTTACACGAAGTGGCTTGGCATTCCATGAGATGCCCTGAATTTGCTCCATGACTTCTTTCGCAACTTGAATAAGCTGCTCGCTATGAATCTCGAGTGATACTGTGACATTGTATGACTTCACGTTGCCATTGATAGGTTCAAACCGGCGGATCACTGTGAATGCATACACCCCATATTTCGTATCCACACGTCGCACGTCGGATACAGTCTCTGGAGGCGCCGGCTTGATCACGTAGATGCGTTTAAGTGGATCAAACACTTCGTGCAATTGCTTGGCTTCTAGTATGCTCCCCGGAGGACCGTCTGGGATGTCCTCCTGCACGATACCCTCCGACGATGGTACATTATCGACAACTTGACCGGTAATCGCAGGATTCCCATCCAAGGATTGCGCATGAGCTGCATAGAGTGAAATCAGGCATCACTTCCGAAAGCACCATGATGATTGCTTACGTTGAAGCGTTCGCGCCCCACGCGACCAGTTGTTGCTCGGTTGAAAGTGGGGGGGGGTACTTGAAACAATGGTGGGCCGGGGTTTGGCATTACACCATCACCGAACGGGTCGAACATCTTGTGACTGGCCGTCTCGCATTGAGCTGCGCAGCTCTTATGAGTGCGAGCATGACTCTGACGGTCGGGCCCGCAGTACTGGAGGGCGGCAATCTGCCTGATGCATTGACGACGTGTGTGCAAAGATTGATACTAACCAGGACAAGTTTCCGATGAGGCTGGAGCATGACTAGGAGGGTCGATGCATAGCCACACGTGGCCGAGACAGTTACCTTGCGACTGCAAGGTTTCTCCCGGGCACAATGTAATGCGATTTTCGTTGATGGCTTTGTACCCCTTTGAACGTCATCCACCCCTTGACCGCTCGTTCTCCATTCCACATCGCTGCTCACCTTCCCCTTTCTGAAACATCTACCGTTCCTCGTTCGTTCTTGCCCTCCTACACTCCACACCATTGCTCATCTTTCGTCTCTAACGTCGCGTTGCTCGTTCCTCTTCGCCCACGTACACTACACACTGCGTGAAACGCCAAATTACTGTGGCCTAGGATTTCCCCGGAATCTGTTAATTCTACACACAAATCCTTGCTAGATTACTTTACAATCCCAACTCTCATAGAATGCTCTTAGGACTCGCCTATCACTGGCTTGTTATTCTCACATTACTTGTTGACCTCAGGATCCTTTCCACAAACTGCTGGGCTGTCCCACCATTCAGGTGATTCATGAAGAGGTTTTCCACTTAGCAGACTCGAATCTCGCTGATAAGTCTTAATAGTGCGTACGTGACGTGATGCGACACCTCTTGCCTTACACCCTTGCACAGCGCCAGTGACCACGCTGCCAGTGATGCTTGCCCCTCAGCACGACATTAAGTTAGGCAGCTGCATTTTGTGCCTCGCGAGTACACTGCAGTGTAATGATCTGTGAGTACTTGACTCTTCACTTCACTGCGCATTGAGGACATTGCATCTGTGTGCGTAGAGTTGGTGCGGTTAACATGAGAAGGACGAACACGAGCCTGGGCTTCTGACCTAGAGACTCATAGGTGAGACATTATTTCGTCAGATCATCAGCTCAGATGTGATTTTTACTAACTTCCCTTCAATGTAAAAGGCTCGCTCACGGGCGTGTATCGCTGAGTCGCACGCATTCCTAGCATTCATGTCCGTCTCTGACGCTTTTAACCTTTGAACACAGTTCACATTACGTCTGCTGTTCAGTGATCCATGGTATCTGGCATGCTCTCGGCACGTACGTCTCGTCAGTTGCTACAGTCGCCGTACCTGTCTCTAAGTGATACAGTCCACAATATTGATTACAACACTTGGGCACTCTTCTATTCCAATGAGTGGTAGTGCTATGGATGTTCCTGTAGGTCCCAATTCTAGGAAATCCTGGTGCGGCAAGGGTATTAGCCAGCCGGCACCTTCCCGTCTCATGGGCGCAAAGGGAGTGAGAGGTTGGTGAGGCCACAAACGACTGGGGCCTATGGTACTACAGGTGCGTATTTATATACCTTTTTCACTCTTCCGTACTCGCCCGCTCCATTTCCAGGTACTGCCTGCGACGCGTTTCAGCCGTCGCTTGGCGCTCCTCCCTCCCGACGCGTTGAGCGCGTTCTACTGAAAGTGCCGTCGGTTGGCCACTTCCAACACCAATGAATATATTTTCTTTCAATGTTATGCGACGCGTACAGTGATTGTATGCACGCCGCGCGGTAAAGCAAGGAAGGACGTGCACGGTATTCAATTAAGAATAATTATCGAACATAGTAATATAGCGGAAAATCCACATTATCTTCAACACAACTTTACCACGAGCATCCTTCGTCACATTTATCACTGCGGCTCGTCACCTTCAGTCGCAAGGTGTGCTGCCGGCGACAGCCGGCGCTTCTCTAGTATCGAAGACTGCCGTCAGAACAGAAGTACGCATCGTACCGTAGTTTGAACTTTCACACGCATCTTAACAATGCTTTTGAACTGAGAATCCACCTCCAGCAGGCCAGTAACACATATATTGTGCTTCCTATGATGGGATTGCTTTCCGCGAAGGCCATAACATTTTTGTTCAGAATAGTTGCTTCACCATGCAATAGTTTGTAAGGAGGATCCCACACCCTTCCTGCTGACAGCCTAATTTCTCGGTCTTCCCTGAGAATTTTCGTGAAACGACGACCAGTGACATTGAATGTAGAGATTGAATAAGGGCATGCTTATGCCCAGGAAAGCACAGCATTAACTATCGAACGTACGAAGGCGGCAGCCCATGCCTTATTTGCGAGATCACAGACATATCACAAGGTCAAGTGTAAGAGTGCAAGAACACGTTATTCAGACGTTCAATCGCTGTAAACAGCCACTGTCAGCGGAATCAAGGACGGTTATAAAATGCGAGTATACCTCATTTCAAACTGCTCCATCAAGTCCACAACCTGTGCCAGATGCGTATAGCCCAGAACCTCCTGCTTGCCAGCAGCCAGAGCTCCAGCAGTCTTTACAACGTTCTTTATCTGCCGTCCATTGACCTTCCTCTCACCCAGATCACTCAGCTCTTCTTCTGTTAGCTGCCCATCTGCCAGATTTGCGTTGGCCTTGCGAATGAATGCCACCCAGATCTGGCGACGCGCATCAGGAGTGAGGTCCGGATACTTGAGTGAGACGTGAATGCGAGACTGGAATGCTTCGTCGAACACCCGAACCCGGTTCGTAGTTAAGAAGAGGATCCCGCGGAAATACCTAGTCAAGGAGGTACATGAATCTGTTTGGTAAGCGTTGAGAAAGATACATATCACTTACTCGAGCTGCCTCAGGAAGACAGCAACCATGGCATTCCTGTCGAGGTGGTCCAATGAGCGTTGCTCAAGGAAAACATCCGCCTCATCGATGAGGACGACCGCATCCCATGCAGCCGATAGCTTGAGCACGTTTGACAAGTTTCTATCCAAATCTTGGGGTGTCGTTCCGAGTTCACCAGCATCTACGACATACAAGGGCTCTGGATAGATAAATAGGTGTGTGAATGATGGCAGAGGATGGGACGGGCCTTATTCCGCTTACTTCGCAAATCTGTAAGCAGTGTCAGATTGAACAACATCCACACGAAACCTGATACTCGCATTCGGTGATTGCCTCGGCCGTCAAGGTTTTGCCTGTGCGACTCGTTAGCGTGTGAACATCAACCCAAATGTAGAAGTATGTACCTATCCCAGGATTGCCGAAGAGGTTGACTACAAGTCCGAGGCCTTTTCCAGCTATAAAGTCGTCGAAACCGGATGCCGCGCCCGCACTGTATGATCCCACGAGCGTCCGCAGGATCATCTTGTGTTGGTCCGTAATGACCAGCTGCGAGAAGACTTCGTCATTCCACTCGAACGTCTCCACCTGATCAATCGCAAATTCCACTGTTATCAAACGGTCAGAATGGCCGCTACTTGAACAAAGGCGCTACGCGATGTGAATGAAGTACACGTACGCCAACGCTTATCAGACAGACTGAATCCATAGACGACGGGCGTAGTGAGCAATAACTCTTCTTCTGACAGGCCGGTGGCTCCCGTGGTCGATGTTTGACCATTCGAAGCGGCGAGATTGCTGTTGAGGGTGTGTTTCTCGATGTTGCCTCCTAACAATGTTCTCGTAATTTCTGGATGTTTCGCATAGTTTGGCCAGTGCTCTACAAAGGTCTCTGCGGATTGAGGGATCAGGATATTTTAACATCACGACTAAGGGAAGGAAGGTTGGACACGAACTGCGATCAATCATAATTCGTGATTTCACCTGCGCAAAGGAGACGTTAGCTTGCGTGACGTTCAATGCCGTTCACGGCTCGGATGACACGCACGCTGAACTTCACGTAGGAAGACTTCTCCCAGCAGGACGCCATGCCTTGATATGCAAGGTGATGGACCCCTCCAGCGATCGCGGCCCACTTTCTGCCGCGCTTGATCAATCGTTCTTTCAAACCCCTCGCGCCGCCGGGACCGGCGTAGTATTCAATAGGAAAGACATTCAAGCCCGAGATCTTCCTCGCGCCAGCAAAGCCGCAGACGCACAGCGCCGTTTGGAGACCTGCGTATCCGAATTCATGTATCATTTTCGTTCGGCGGCCTGGCTCGGGGACATTTGCTTCCACGTATACCACGTGGAGCCGCCACACGAAATCGTTATACTGGCCGTCATCATCTTTGCCGACTGCCAGGCCTGTGGGGTCGTAAACGGAGAGCAAACATCCTCCCAGTACCTTGCATAGTTCCGCATGCAGCAAGCGAACAGCTCGCGGCTCGCCCGTGACGGGACAAAGAGTGTAGAGGATGGTCTTGCCAGGGATATACACCGCCCACAAAAGATCGAATGTAATTTCGCCATGGCGAAGCCACGACGACAGCGTGTCGAGGGTAGACGCGTACGTTGTGGTGAGGTAGGTTAGCAGATGGCTGAGGTGGGTGACCTTGAGGCGGGCAGGGTCGTTCTCCGGGGCAGTGTGTGCCGCGACAATCAACTTCGCTTGGTAAGCCTGCAGCTCACGCAGCCAGGAGAGGAAAATTTGCGGGTTGATCTGATGGGAATAAGTTAGTTGATGAGAGTGAGCGCAGGAGGACATACGCGGAGTTTTTTGGCGTTCCATGAGATGCCGTGGACGTGTCCTATGACTTCTTTCGCAACTTCGATGAGGTGCTTGCTATGAATCTCGAGTGATAGAATAACATCGTGTTTCTTGCCCTTGCCAGAGCGCGAAAAGTGACGGATCACCGAGAAGGCATACACCGCGTACTTCGAGCCCTCCCGTAGATCCTCGGATGCGGTCTCCAAAGGAGCCGGCCTGAGTACATACCTTTGCTCCTTCGGGTCGTACACCTCGTACAGATTCTTGACTTGCAGTACACTTCCTGGAGGACCGTCCGGAATGTCCTCCTGCTCGATTCCCTCCGCAGAGGGTACGTGATCAGTGACTTCACTCGAGGAATCAGAATCATCATCTGATTCCAAGATGAGGCCTGCGCGGAGATAAAGCAGGCCTCTCAGAATGATGACGGTGACTACTCACGGTATGGTGATCCTTCCATATTTCTCTTGCGGTGTGAGATCGAAAGATATGCTTGAAAGGCGAGCGGGTTCGAGTCACAAAACGGCTTGCAGAAAGCTGTCGTACGGTTGAACCAACGCAGTTCTTATAGGTGCAGCCATGAGGCTATGTAGCGCCGAAGGGTGGTACTCTGCCTCATGGATGCCTCGAGAAAGTGCACTGCCAGAATACAAGCCATTATCGACTCCTCTGTATTTGGAACGTGTCCACAGTGCCCCGAGATTCCTGGCTTCGAACAAAGAAACGGAGCGCTGTGTTGAACGCAGGCGAAACACTTCAGTGCAATGTCTGTCGCCGACTTGTAGCAATGACTCACCACACCGAAGGCTTATCAAATGCGCGATCGTCATCCTGGGTGTGCTGCAGAATGTTTGAGGTTACTTACATTTGACAAATTTTTTTTGCACAAGGTCCGCATGTCTATGGCCTTCGCGACATGGTCAACGAATACCCATGTAACGCGCTACACATGACAGGGCTAGAATTCCTTGCGCGCTACAATGGTCCATCAGTCCTTGAAACGAGGCAGATAGAAGTTAAATGTGGTTTCATCAATGAACAATCCTTAGTCGGAACCCTAATATAATTCACAGCCCACAATCCACGAGGCATTCCTCCCCTCCTCGGATATAGATGGTCGCTTCGCCATAAAGACACCCAGCGCTTCCATGTGGTCATTCATCTTCAGTGGAGACTCGTATGATGCACACTTGAAGTCTATATCTTGTCATACTTGTCAGCCGCATGCAATGCTCCAATCAAGGAAAAGTATATACCTGTCTCTAGACTGATCTCGAGGGCACGGGAGATGGCTTGCGTTGCTGCTAGCGGTGCTATAGCGGATCAGTCAGAAAACAAAACGCTGTGCTCTTCTGCGAAGCAAGAAGCCACTTCACCATTTTGGGCGATCTCCCTAGCCACATCAAGCGCCTTGTCGAGCGCACTAGTATATGGATATGAGACATAGCCGACCACACCTGCATATCGGAGATTACACTAACACGTATAAGCGCATACATAGAAGATACGTATTGAGCCGAAATGACAAACTGACCCTGCATACTCTTTCAACAGTTCGTGTACGCGGTGTTGCGGCTGTTCCGGATATTCTTCGTCCCACACCTTTCCGTAAAACATCCCGCGGATCTCGCCAAACTTGTTCGCGAGTGTCGTGAGTTCGCACTCCTCGTGGTACGTCTTTGGTTGGGTACGCCGGTGGTAAAAAGAAGGCCGTAACGGTTCAGCTGCGTGATAGCCTTCAGCATACCGGAAGGCGTCCGCAGACTCTCATATGGGAAAAATGAGTCCTTCGCCTTTTGCAACTCCGCAATGTCTCATTGCTTCGCGAACTCGTTCCTGTGTAACGCGTTCGATTCTGGCGGAGGGGCGTATACTCCAGAAATTCCTTCGCCTAGTGCGGGTCATGTCCGGAGCTCCATGCCATATCCACGCCATTTTCGGTGACCCTTATGCCATCAGGGGCGGGTTTGACATCCTCTCGAGTATCCGACGATCTGTGTACCTTTTGCCGGGTTGAGGGCTGCACGCATTTCGGGCACTAGCAGGAATCGCGAAGTCATCTGTACGGAAACGATGAGCCACCATACGAGAGAGCAGAGCCGTCCGCAGTGGTTGTAGCATAGAGTTGACTTCTGGAGAGCCATCTGCAGAGAGTTGCTAGCCGGAGTCGGTTCACCATGCAGCAGAGATACGCGAACGAAGTGGATTGAAGAGGAATGACCAGACTTGGCGGCCAGGTTCCCCCTCACCAGACTTCCGGTTCTTGCACAAACCATTTAAAGAAGCAACCATCTAGGAAAAAATCACTGACAAACACGAGATCAGAGAATCTCCTTTCGAGCCCATAGCGTCGAAGAGACAAGGCAGCAGAATTCATGCGCGCAATTTCGAATATATGGGCGCTTATAGATGTTGAAATGCCGCCGGCTATTTCCGCATAGGAAGGCCACCAGCGAATAATGTCACGGTTGGGGAGCTTTGACTCTTGCATGCTTTCTTGACATATTAACACAGAATACTGTGGATCTGAAAGCATTCGAGCGTTTCAAATTCTGTTGTAATGGCCGTCATGATCGTCTCTCAATCGAGCACGCTTCTCAGCTAACTCGCAACAGAATTACCGTGATTTATGGTGTAGTGTACACCATTATAAGCATAGGGAAGAATCTCGCCGGGGCTGTAGTCAAGACGTAGCAGAAAAATCACTTTGTACAAGGTCCATATCTGTCCGGTCCCGTGTGGCTGGCGAGGTCGCATCATCGGAGCCTCCGACTTACACAATGCCTGTTGAAACCACTACATCCACGACACCTGCATCTTACACCCGGCACCTCGTCGTCGAACCTGCCCCCCCAAGAGGTAAAAACAGCCAGCATGACGAGCCGTAACGGGCAGCGAGCGACTTCCGCGCGCCATGCCCTGCTAATACATACCATACACAGGTGGTAACGTACGATCACTCCCAGAGTTCCCATCCGTACCGAGTTTGTCCGCAATGTCCACAGTCTCCAGCGGCCCTCCCGCCAAACGCACCCCTCCGTCCTCCGCCCGACGAGGCGTGCGGGGCGGCACTGGCGGGTCCGGCAGCCTCCGCGACGCGTACGTTCGCTTGCTCTCCACACTGTATGCGTACGATACGCGGTTCGGGCACAGCGCTGGGACGCTCGGCCAGTTCGCCCCGAGCAGCTCTGCGGTGGTGAGGCTGTGCTGGCTCACCGGCGAGTCCAACGGCTGCGACAGCGATGTCGACGACAAGCCGGCGCTCGTGCGAGGCGACGTGTGTGGTTGTGAATATGGGTATGACTGTGTGCTGGTGGCATGGCCGCTCGTCAGTGGGTACGTGGACAGCATCGTCGACGGGCGCGAATCGTCGGCCGCACCGGCGGGTGGGGTCCACGTCCATTTGCTAGAGACGTCGTCACGCATGGGGCTCGGTGCGGAGTGCTCGGCGTACTCGTGGACTCTCCTCTGGTCGCACGGTGCAGCAAACCAGGAACAATGGGAGCTTTGTTGACTTCCACGGAATGCGCGGTGCCCACTGAATAGAGTGAAGTTCGAGCGTCTGTTTCGGACCCACCAAGTAACGCCGAACGAAGCGATAGCAACGACTATGATTGTGACGATGATAGCGACTGTGATCCCCATCCTCAGTCGCCCAGACGAGGAGGCAGCCTCCTGAGAGACAGCACTTGATGGATTTGAAGACGTGGCCGTAGGTGACGTGCTGGACGAGACACTGGCGCCAGCTGCTGGCATCGTGGTGAACACTTGCATACTGGTGAATGATTCCACGAATATGCTGGGGGACTCGCTGTAAGGCGCAATCAAAGCGGTGTCGTTGTAGGCAGACACATAGAAGGGGATGGAGGTTGCAAGAGTGGCTGAAATACGGAATGCGCTCGCATTCGAAGTCATGCTAGCAGCACCATCATCCGCCTGCGAAGAGGTACGAACGCCCGATGAAGGCGATGATGCCTTGTATGATGCTGAATACGATGGTCGGAGGGAAGAAACACTAGCGGAAGGCGACCGTTTTCCAACGCGTTGCGTCACGGTGGCAGCGGTGATGTCAAGCGTCTGCAAATGAGATATCGCCGATGAGACCTCCCAAGGTGGGAGTTTATTGCTCAGTGGAGAAACAGCCGACGTTTCGGGAACCTGGGGTACACCCGTTGAAGGCAGAGACATACTGGAGGAATCTTTTGCAGTCGCCACGGCTGCAACAGAGCTCGATATTAGCGAGAGAGCATCAGTAGAGGTGGTTGAAGGGAATGTGTTCGCGCTCATCGGTGCGAGCAGAGACACATCTTTCTGTCTGCGTGAGAGGCAAGTGTCTCTGCGATGCCACCGCGTTGAGGTGTGCGGTGATATATATTCGATGTCCCACAACGTTGCGCGCAATAAGCCGTTGTCTCCCTGATGACCAACATCATTCGAGAGGTCCTCCACGGCCACAGAGTGCAGGCTCAGATCGGCGCTGCAGTCGGCTTGATTCAGGTGATCGCTGCGTTTGATGGATGGCTCCTCGCTGCCGAGTGTAACAAAAGGAGTGTCTGGCAGTAGCGTTCAGCGGTCGTTCATAAGAGTTTGTGGTACATGGAAGGCATGATGGACGTATGCGGCTCACCTTGCGCATGCGCAATAGAACGTACTCGGTCCTCTTCTGAATGCGCAACGTCTCCACCAGAAGCTCCGGAGAATATCGATATATGCGCTACAGCCTCTCCAGCAGGGCTGGCAAGAGTGATCTTGATCCTGGCTGAGAACAGCGTCCACCAAATCACCAGCGAGCAAGTGAGTAGCATGGCCTGCACGCTATCCGCGCATGCAAAGAACGAGCGCCTTGAAAAGACAGTAAGCTACAAAAGAACGACAGGGGCCGGCAGGGCGTGTAGAACGAGAGGCGGGCGGGGCGCAGGCGGGCGAGAGTTTGTGTGGACTCACCGGCAATGCACCATATTATGTGCGACAACTTCAATCTAGTTCGTTGGTCACTGACAGTTGGCAGTATCATCACAGCTCAGGATCAGGTCTGACTGAAGCGCACCGACAGGAAACGGCGAAGACGAAGCGTATATCGATGGGGAGGCAGCCATGGAAGCCAAGTGATGAACAGCGACGGCGTGGCGTATGCAAGAGATCAACGGCGGGAGAACCAGGCACTGTTTCAACAGTGCGCAACTTCGCCATAGCCAGGGGCACGATGCGCAATTTGGGACAGAAAATCGATGGACGCGATCAGAAGACATCCTAGCCGGCCCACGTTGGGCATGACATTTGCCAACTTGGCGTGACCGCGACCACAGTAGATGACGCTGAAATGGCAATCGGTATAATGCTTCAGATGCATTTACATACCACACATCCCAAAGATAGTCGTGCATTCATGCCTAAGCCACCTTCGATTCTGATGACAGGGTTGGTGTTGTAACTCGCCATGTGCTCTGGATCACAGCGAAATCACTGCGTGGTGGCCGAAGTGCGTGAGGATCGCTAGCTTCCTGAATAAGGAGGTTAGCACACGGGCATGTCGACGTTTCCCGCGCCCGAGATGTCGGGGCCTCATCGATATGCTGTACAGTGCGCGACTGTTCGGTTCGCGTTCGTCATTTCATTTGCACATGCGCAAAAAGTCAGACAAGACTCACCATAATGTAGCAGTAACTATCATATGGAAGCCAAGGACAAATAAACTTAGAGATTGCCGGAGACAGGGAGTGATCCTCGAGTTGTTCAACGTCACCGGAGGATCAACCCAATGACAGTCGAGATTGATCGACAGAAAATCAAGCTAGTGCTTTGGTTCAGACGCGAACTCCAAAGTATTCCGCTGTATGCAGTGGCCGACGAGTAGAACGCAGAGACGAGAGTGAGAGGTCACTGAAGACCTCAGATCCACACCCGCGGAGGCTCCTCGTCGCCTCGAGCTTTGGCATGATTTATCGCTACTGGCGACCAACAGAATCAGAAAGTGCTATGCAAGACCGATGAATGATCCTTTGAGAACGGAGCGTGCTCGATACCGGTCGCTTCCATTTATACTTTCGCCAGTGCCTGCTGATGATCATAGCTTCCGGGACGCCAGAGATCAGACGACCTGAGACACGTAGCCATACGACCCAAAGACATCTTCAGGTGGTATGTCACGATCCATCGTGTGGTGAATGTCCATGTGTTCTCAGTGTACGCATCTGTCGCGAAAGCAAGCCTCCACTCTGAACCAGGGGCATCCTGAGTTGCGAGGATCAAGCCGAGTGATGTCCGAGCTACCGGCTGCCAGGACCAGTCCAAAGTCAACGTCAACCGCCTCCAGCCGCAAGCAGAAAGTTCGTTCACGACTAGTGCGCGCAAAGCAGAGACCTGATATCATCGCACGCCGGATAGCAAAGTATCTAGCCAAGGCTACCTCACCCGCCCACAGGGCTCCCGTCGTCCTCAGCTTCGCCAGAGATCGCCAAAGTCGTCATCGTGAAGATGCCGCTGTCGTGTTCCCTGGTGCATATGACGCCTTAGTATGCGGGAATCCGCTGCGGCCGGTCGTGCAGTAAAGGACGTCTTGGCGCAGTTCTTGATACAGCATCGCCGAAGCAAGTGCGAGCGATGCAACCTGGGTGTGGTGCATAAAGGGCGCCGCGGATGGCGGGAGTCAAATAAGTCGAGGTGGTGTAACACCATCCGCCAATGAAGTTAGACTGTTCCTCGTGGTTCGCGAATCGCAAAGCACGCCATTTCTGAGCCAAGTCGCTGTTCCGTCGCTGATGATGAGGGCGAAGGTTACAAGAAATATATATCCTTGCTGCCGTCTTCCATCTGTAATATACGCGCGGCCTCGAGTGCACGAGAGAAAATGTGGACTCGTTCGTCCCCATGGCCAGCGACCGGCAACACGAATTGTGGCGGAAGGTAACGAGGAGGCGGCCGCTCACGTGCGTCTTTGGCGCCTACATTACGTCATATCGAAATCAGTCTGAGATTGCTATGATCAGCAGCTCGCGATAACTCCTGCATAAATAACAGGCCCCTGGCCTACCATCCCTTTCTCTTCGACGCCCACGACCCCCGTCTTCCCACCGCAGATCCTCCTTCCTGCCACCAGCCAGCGAACACCATGTCCGGCCAGCACACGCTCCCCGACCTCCCGTATCCCTACGACGCGCTTGAGCCGTACATCTCGCGCCAGATCATGGAGCTCCACCACAAGAAGCACCACCAGACGTACGTGAACGCGCTCAACGCGGCCGAGCAGGCATATGCCAAGACGAGCTCCCCGCGCGAACGCATCGCGCTCCAGTCCGCGCTCAAGTTTAACGGCGGTGGTGCGTGTTTTCTCGCTGAGTAACGTTTCGGAGCGGATGGCCGAACTGCGCCCGCGCGCCCGATATAGGGCACATCAATCACTCGCTTTTCTGGAAGAATCTCGCGCCCTCGGCGTCCGAGAAGAAGGGCAACGGCGGCGTCCTCAAAGACGGTCCCTTCAAGACCGCGCTGCTCGAAACGTTCGGCACCTTTGACAAGTTCAAGAAGGAGTTCAACACCTTGACCGCGAGCATCCAGGGCTCTGGCTGGGGCTGGCTCGTGCGTAGCACTTATGTATCCTGGGTACCATTCCTCTGACTTGCTGACGTGCATGCAGGGCCTGAACCCGCAGACCAAGCGCCTTGAGCTGACCACCACGGCGAACCAGGATCCTCTCCTTACCCACATCCCCATCATTGGTGTCGATATCTGGGAGCACGCCTTCTACCTCCAGTACCTCAATGTCAAGGTCGACGTGAGTTTCCCTCGTTCTCGCCTTTGTGCCGCGGTTGACCGTGCATCTTCAGTACCTCAACGCTATCTGGAATGTCATCAACTTTGACGAGGCTGAGGAGCGCTACCTCGCAGCCCTGAGCGGCAACGTCAAGCTCTAAGTTATTCGTGATGACGACCGATCTGTGATGTGCCGTCGGGAAGAGAGCGCCGAAAAGACAGAATGAAGCGAAAACTCAATTGTACTATGAAAACTGCTATGTACCGATTCATTCGCAATGAAATCTTGTGCGAGTTGCCTTGATGAATGACAGATACCAATCATCGCATGTGGCTGGCGAGCGCATTCGGTCAAGTAGAGGCTGTAGTATGACATCCCACCCTACCCGGACGCATACACCCACCCATTGTCTTTGCCACTCCATTTAAAGTTGTCAGAATTTTCTTTTCAAAAAGAAATCAGTCGATGGCAACTGCACCAGTGTTCTTCACACGGCCCTTTGTCTTATAACTGGAGCTTCATGCAACATGTTTGTATCCTTTCCTGCAGCCTGCTCTGGTTTAGCGTTGACGCTCTTGGTCGACAGTGGTCATGAACCGCCACCACTGACATTTTCGTAAACAGTCATCATGTCACAACCATCGTTGCCCCGATCGATGAACTGGTGTCAATGACTCGGACTCGCTGTACCTAACATCTTGAACTGTGATATTTAACAAACCGTTTCGGTGGTCGAATGCTCGCTTTGAGTCACTGTACGATGGCTTGGCTACGCAAGGTTTATCCCGAACTTCAAGGGGTCTCGAGAAGCTGTGATTCAGCAAGATCCGGCTCTTAGGCTTATGGCATGCTCCAGCAATTTGCGTGCAGAAGAATCGGCAATTTGCATCTTGACATTGTCGGAGAGCTGGGACCTGATACCTGGAGCCTTATAAGGAAATATTTATCTTGGTAGGCAAATATCGTTTGTGTCACAAGGTCGATGAACGCTCAACAAGCTGCTCAGCTGAGACTCGCGTGGGACAGCTGCGCAGTGGTGAGCTTCGCTTGCACCAACTATTTCACAGAGGGGCAAGCTGAAGGGTTCTGCCGAAGTCAAATTCTACTGCATTGCGACCCTTGTCCTTGGTCTTGACCAACGCCACTCGAGATCGCCTTTTAACGCGACATGCATCTCTTATCTCTAGCTCTCTTGCTCGGTCTTTTCCCTCTTCAATTGCCAGTGAGGCTCATCTTGACTTAGCATGACAAAGCCCAGCGACGGTAGTGCCAGCCTGATGGCGGAGAAGAGTAAACTCGACACTATCGAGTATACTGCAGAAGTCAATAATACCTCTGGTTACGAGGATGCGGGATTACCTTCTCCTCCAACACTCACTCCAGAGCAAGAGAAAACGCTCTGGAAGAAGGTGGACCGACGTATCCTGCCCATCTTAACCATCATGTACTTTTGCTCTTTCCTGGATAGAGGTGAGCTCATCTTGACGATGTTGCGGAATCAATGGCGCTCACGACAGAACCACCTTAGGAAATATTGGTTCGCTCATGTCGAAGAGAGCCGCTCATCTTTCTGACGTCGTTTCTTTTCCACCGGTGCTTAGGGAATGCGAAGCTTCAAGGCATTGTTACGCAATTAGATTTGACAGGGAATAAGTATAACATTGCTTTGGTAAGCTTGAATTGATCCCGCACATGTCGCGGGCTGATTTCAACAACGAGTAGACAATGTATTACATCGTAAGCCATTCCATGCATTGGGGATCTCGATCTGAGCTCATTACTTTCGTATTCAAGCCGTATTGCCTTTGCGAATGCCCAGCAAAGTGGGTCTCGCCTTCTATAGTTTCTGACTTTTCGTGATGCTAAAAAAGCCCACCAGTATGGTGTTGAAGAAGTTCAAACCGTCTAGGTATGGCTATTTTCAGTACCGTTCGTCATCCATCTTGATATTGTCGGCTTGAGATGGCTGCCAGGAATTACAGTAAGTGCCTTGCTCGTTTCATTTGAAACTTTCATTTATGCCTGTGCAGCTTCTATGGGGCATCATTATGTGTGTACACACGCCAAGCATTCGTAACTCAGTAATCATTTCTGCTTCTCCAGGACGCTCATGGGGCTTGTGAAAACGTGTGTATGCAGTAATGATGGAACTGCATGTCCAACTGTGTTCATGACGACTGTCGCCAGTTATCCACAGCTTGTCGGAACGCGCATATGCCTAGGTGTCGCGGAAGCAGGCTTATTCCCGGGCGTTGTGTACTAGTGAGCGGGCGTTCCGCATGTGAATCACCGGCTGTCATGGCGCTGACAAATTACATGCATGCTAGCCTCACCCTTTGGTACCCTCGCCACATGCTTCAATTCCGCGTCGCCCTCTTCTACGGCGGTGCGACGATAGCAGGTTGGCTCGTGACTTCATCCGCCGGCGGTGATAACTAACGAGTAGCATAGGTGCCTTCTCTGGTCTACTGGCCTTCGGGATCTCTTACATGTCGGGCACTGCCGGCTTGCTTGGGTGGTCATGGATATTTGTAAGTCATGTTGATTCCTCAGGAATTGCATGTCTATGCCAATGCGGGGGTCCGAAATAGATTATTGAGGGATTGACAACGGTGGTAGTCGGCTGCATAGCATTCTTCGGCGAGTTCCTTCGAGTTATGCCCCGTGTCGTTTGTTGAATAGCTGACACGATTTGATCGTAGTGCTGGTAGACTTCCCGAGCACCGCCAACTTCCTGACGCTAGAAGAGCGCTCATACATTATCTGGAAGAAGAGTAAGATAATGATCTGCTGCATTTTTATGATCGCTCATCCACTCTACGAGAGAGTACGACAATTCCTCCGTAGGAGAAGAAGAACACTTCGAGATGCGGCACCTCGTAGCAGCATTTACGGATTGGCAGGTGCGTATCCAATCATTTGCTCCATGCAGAAGTTTCGATATTGAAAATGTAGCTCAGGTCTGGGTGTTGATCCTAGTTTACATGTCGATTAGTGCCCCTTGTGAGCGGTATACACCCGTTGCGAATGAAACCACTAACACATTTCACAGTATGCGGAATCTCTCTTTTCCTACCGTATGCATTCTTCAACCGTTCTTCATGTATAGCCCGCTCTCTAATGCATCTCATAGATCCCTTATCAATGGGTACACTCAACAGTTTCATACAAACCGTCTGTCATGCTAATGCGACTGCTAGCTTCGGATATGATACTGCCATGAGCCAGCTCCTCACGGTGCCGCCATATATATGCGCTAGTATGCTCTGTGATCTCTCTATGCGAGCGTTTGGCTTACCCATGTCAGCCATCGTCTTGGTCATATTCGCTGTATGGTCCGACCGTATTAAGAAACGATCTCCGTTCATTCTCTCTGGCCTTGTGATGTGCACCATAGGTTTCGCCATCAACATCTCCAATGCGCCCAATGGCGTGAAGTACTTTGGGACCTTCTTCATGGCGTCAGGAACCTACGGGACATTTCCGGGTGTGGTCGCATGGTGCGTTGTCGTTGCCGCACATGCTCTAATCCTATCTACACGTTTTGCAGGCTCGGCAACAATCTGGCCGGCCAATATAAGCGAGCAGTTGGGATGGCGCTACAGATCGGCATTGGCAACTTTAGTGGAGCCATCGCATGTAACATCTACCTCTCAAAGGACGAGCCGCGGTATATCATGGGCCGTGAGTAGGAAGGTCCCGTGCGATGCATTCCACGTATTGATGTGTGGGATTTTGACAGACGCGCTCGAGTTGATGTTCGTAGGCATTGGCTACACCTTCTTGCCCATCGCTGTCCTGGCGTACAGGCACATTAACAACAAGAGAGATGCAAATCAACGAGAGATGATGAAGAAAGGCATTGTATACTCCGATGAGGATATGACGAGGATGGGGGACCGTGCTCCTGACTTCCGTTATACGCTGTAATACTAACACGTAGATCAATGGCTCACTCAGATTCTACCAGTCCATCGCTTGTACACTGTCACGCGTTATGGTCGGCTGGATTGTGCAAGGCACAGTTATCGAAGAGCGGGATAAACTGTCCACTGCATCAGGCATGCGGTCAAATGATGCGATTGCCTGAGATGTTTTCAAGCACTGATAGAAAGCCACAAAAACGTTGGATGTGTTTTGCCAGTGCCTCAGGCTCTGCACAGTCAGTGATGCTGCAAGTCCGAAACTCTACTAAGTCTCCTACCCACAGAGCGTAACGGAGATCAATAACTACCTCTCTTGTCCAGCTATAAATATGCAGCGTAGTTTTCACAATCCATTGCGGAGGTAATGACGCAAGCGTGAGCTAGCTTTTCAATGTCAAATGAACGAGCTGCCGAAGTTGGAGAGTTGATTTGAAGAAAACATGTATCAAAATAGCATCCACCGCTTCAAAAAGAGATAATTCACAATATATAGTGCACGACCAGTACGAATTCCAACCGTATAGCCCAGTTGGAACAAGATCAGATAATTTACAACGGTAGTACAGAAGTTAGAACATCAAAGACCCGCAAAGGGAAGTGTATATAGCGACGATACCGAACAATAATTACATATCAGAGTCGGAACCAGGCATGACGAACTTCATGCTCTCTAGACTGCTCCTGCTCGAAGGCGAAGATGCACCGGAGATAATAGACATAGACGGAGCGGCTGGCGCAGTAGCAACTTGCAAACTGACTGGATGGGGTTTCGTACGCGTCGCTGTTGGCGTGAGTTGAGTCGGGAACGGGCCAACGGCAGAGGCACGCGCAACCGATCCTTCATACACCAGCGTCGTTGCCACGTCTGTCGCAGTTTCGCTTGTCCCAGATGGAGGGGAGTCTCTGTTGGAATCTGGGTGCGGAGCACGGATGCGAGAGGCCCCGGTGCGACCTGCGCCACCGGCGTGGGAGAATAGTAGCGCGCGTGTATATAATAGGGCGCGGCTACAATGGGACGGCCATCGGTTTGGCCCCGTGGAGCCATCTTCTAGAGAGCAGGCGACTCCCGAATTCCTGGCCGCGCAGCGGGCTGGCTGGGAAGCTCAACAGTCTTGATTGTCAATGGTCTGCGACAGCCGACTGACACTAGTGGATGTACGCAGAGTAGTCATCCTCATCGTGACTGGGATAGGCATTCGTACAGGTAACGGCTCGGAGTGCACTGAAAACTCTGAGGTGTCTCTGAAGCACGATGAGATCACGGAAGAATGGTCGGCCTCCGTGGCTAGCGGGAAACGCGGACGTATGTGGTCTGGCGAGGATTTCCTTGGCCTATATGAAGTGAAGGAAGACGCTGGAAATTCTAGTATGCTATCCGGACATGAACTGACACTTATGAGGCCGTAGGTCACAGCGGCTACTGCCTTTGTCCCACCTTTGTCCAGCCACGATCAGGCAGACCTTTTCCCTTTCCTGCTTCGCCCCTCATAAACCTCGAGTGCCCACCTGCCTGCACTGCGCTGGCATCCTGCTATCTTGAAAGCTCCAGTCTTCAAGTTGAAGTGCCACTCAGTGCACACGAGAGTGCCTAGTGAGTAACTTTGGTGTGTCACTTATGTCCTTCCCGGACTTCTGTGTACTGATCAGCTTCAGGGCTGGTGGTGATGCTCCAATATGCCACAATCGCCGGATTGTGACATCCCACCCTACCCGGACGCGCATACACTCACCCATTGATAGCTCCCCTAGTCTGTCATTGGGCAATGAGACAATTCCTTGAATTTCCGTCTCCACATTTTGCCACTCTATTTAGTGTTTAGGTACTTCACGGAGGATAAATACTGTATATTTAAAGTACTTATAAACAAAATTGATGGCAATTTGATGCTGCACGAGAGATGGTGTTCTTGACAGAGTCATCTCATCTCCCAATATACAAACTAGAGCTTCATGCGTGTCTGTATTCTTTTCTGCAGCCTCCTCTGGTTTAGCATGGGTAATCTTGGTTGACAGTACTTGGTTATGAACTGCCATTACTGACATTTTCGACAACAGTCAACATCACAACCATTGTTGCCTCGATCGATGAACTGGTGTTAATGACTCGGGCTCGCTGTACCTAACATCTTGAACTAGGTGGTATCTGACAAACCGATTCGGTGGTCGAATGCTCGCTTTGAGTCACTGTATAATGGCTTGGTTACGCAAGGCTTATCCTGATTCCTGACCTTCAAGGGATCTCAAGAAGCTGTGATTCAGTAGATCTTGTATCCAGATTCACTGAATGTCATGATCGCCCTCGCGTTACAGACAACTCTCGCACTACGGACTCCTGACGGCCTTCCATCCCATACTCTCCATTCTACACAAGTTGCATCTGCTCCGCAGTGCGCTCTCGACCACTCGTGGTTGGATAGCCTCAAGGCAGATATTCTTCATTCAGGCACAGATGCTGTGGACAACATTCTAGTCATGCTCAGCCTTCTTCAGATGATTCCATGTACTCTTAGCATTGACTCAGATGACTCTTGCTTCCACTGCTGCTTACGATACTAGTCTTACATTCTTCCTTAGTAATACTTTCATCCCACATGTATAAAAGCTGCGACGGTTCATTAGGAATCGTCACAGGTACAACACCAATAGTCTCTCGACGTACCTTCCTATCCATCCTCTTTGCTCCTCACTGCCTTCACTCCTCACGTTGCTCTCATCTCCTGAGTCGAGCCATTACAGTTTGTACCTGCCACCCAACTTCCTCTTTCAGTCACATTTTTGCCTTATTTGGCAACTCTTGACTTGGCTGTCAAACTTTCATACCTTCTCTCGCTGAACCTCTCCCACCATGTCTTCCAATGATATCACTATGGACCTGGAGACTCTCTTCAGCCCTCCTCCTGTTCAGCCTCAGGCCCAGGCTCCCAGCACCATCCCTGCTATCCCCATAGGTGCTGACAATCCCCCAGCCTTGCAGGCCCTTGCTCAGGCTGTAAATGCTATCAACAGCCTTGCTGGTGCCCAGACCACCTTCGCTGCCAACCAGGCTTCTATTCAGATGGTGTTGGTGAACATAGCGACGACTCTGCAAGGTGCGATGCCTACTTCAGGCACCTCGGGCACCACTCCCTCAGGTGTCATCTGCTTCAAAGACTCTTGTGCTTTCAATGGTACGCCCGCAGTGGTCGAGCCTTTTCTTGCTGATCTGTGAAATGCTATGCATCTCACTCACTGTCATCTTGTATCGGACTATGACAAGTCCCTCTATATGAGCACCTGGCTCGAAAATGGTTCTCCGAATTCCTGGTTCTGGGCTATCGAGAAAACCAAGCTCAAACTTCTCAATGATCATGCTGCACTCGTCGAGGACTTCCGCAAGCACTTTGGCGATGCTGACTTTGTCAATAGCCAAATGGAGAAGATCAAAAAATTCGTCCAACGCGCTTCTGCTGTGAAGTACGCATCTGCTTTCTGCAAAATCCTCGTCCATCTTCCTATCCACGATGACCTTATCAAGATCAACATGTTCAAGAAAGGTCTCAAGGATGACGTCAAGGCACTCTTCCTCATGATACAGTCACCTACCACCTTCGATGACTATGTTGCACAAGCAATCACCTTCGATAATCGCATCTATGCGCATGCACAAGAACTGAACATCGACCGAAAGAATGTTATGTCAACCCTCCCAGTTTCCACTGCTCCATGCCAGCTGCACCTCTCCACCATGTTATACACCCCAGCCTCGACTGATCCTGTCTCAATGGAGGTCAGCGCCATTCATCATCACAGCCCACTTTCTGCTGAAGAGAAGCAGCGCCATCATAGCTTGAGATTGTGCAGTTACTGCGACGGTAAGCACGAGATTACTGCTTGCGCTGCTTTTTCAAAGCGCAATGCTGCCTCTTCCTCATCTGGCTCTTCTTTTCAGCAGGGAAAAGGGAAGCTGGAGGCCCATTAAATGTCCCAGAGCCTCGGGGAACACCAGGGACTGCGCACTGTTCCTCACCTGTGATCCTCTCAAGAACTCACATCAAGACCACGGCTGGGTCCTAGGTTCTGCGTGTCACTAGTGCGCCCACTTTTCGGCTTTCACCTCACGTTATCTGTTCCATTCATGACACCGATCACTTCTTTATCAATGTCTCTCTCACCTTTCCCAACCAAAAACCTATACAAACCTTCGCACTAGTTGACTCCGGGATGACCACCTCATGCATTTCTGATCATTTCTTGCAACAGCACTCACTACCTCACTCGCTTAAAGACACTCCTGTTCCCATCACAGCTGTCGATGAGTGACCCATCACATCAGGACTCATCATGCAGCTTCACATGTGCAATCATGCTGAGCTCATCTCTTTCTCGGTCATCTCTGTCCCTTATCCCCTGATCCTCGAACTTGACTGGCTGCGATGACACAACCCTGCAGTTGACTGGGCTCACAGTTAACTTTCTCTCTCCTGCTGTGGTGCTACCTCCCCAGTTCCTCCCACTATTAGTCAAGGCTCTGGTCTTGTACATCGCTCACCGAGTGCTCTCGGTTCAGCAATTTTGACTACTTCCATCAGTCTAGGCCTTGGTTTACCCTGCGCTGCTATTTGTCCGATGATTCCTCCCACCATTTCTGACACAGAACGTCCGCGATGCCCTGTGTCACAGTATTAAGTGACACCTTTCTTTTTGCACCATTAAAGTCCTCATTTGAGTGGTTATTCAGACGCCAACCTTCATATTGGTCTCACAACGTGGATACTTAGACAAACAGCACAATACTGCCACATACATTGCAGATATGACTGTGTCTACCACATGACCACCAAGCACCCATGATTCAGCCACCCAGTCACGTGACACTGGCCACTTGCCCTATTTGGAAGTTATCAGGTGTTGATCACATGACACCAGGCCACTTGCCCAGAAAGGAACTCATTGGACCATCAAGCTAGCAAGCACCTAATTCGCCACCCAAGATAGTGGCACCACTTTGCTGCCTAAATCAATAGGCAGGTACCACAACAGAGGATCCCCCTATCAACCGGCATACAGTATAGCCAGGTACAGGATAGGCTAGATCTTCTCACAACCCTATCCAGATGAAGACTGATTGTCACACTCATTATTCTGAGTCTAGACAAATCCTCTCATCTGATGTCGCAACCGTTGTGATGTGCCCTGTTGGCCATCACCCATTGGCTCCTCAACAGTGGGCCCACTGACAGGCATTTATCTCATTGGATTAGATAGGATTACCTCGACGTATCCACGGTCATTGTAGATAGTTGCCATAGCAAAGCCCAGAACCATTACTGGTTCTGGCAACATATTCACATGTAGGTATCTGAGGTCTCACAGTAGCACAGTGCCAGGGGCCCTGCCCTACATGTATATAAAGCCCATGAGGATCTAAGGGAGGACCTTAGATTCATTATTCTATTGCATGCAGCCTAACAAGCCAATTCACCCCTTTGTTGTGAGCATAAGGCTAAGGGCCCCTTTGAGCCCCTTTCTCAGGCTGCATGTCACTGCATGCCTGGTTTGACCCTTTCTGGGCAAACTCCTTTTTTGTGCAGGTCACTGGATGCTGGCAAGCACCTTGCTGCCATTTCCTTGCCTTAGGGCACAGGATCTAATGTGCCGTGACACCCTGTTGGAGGCATTCTAAGCACTGTTGCTATACCCTCCATGCTGACCTGGTCCTGGCTTCAGTCACAAACAGTTCTTCTTGGCTCTCCTTCCTTCTGCTGAGGATGCTCTGCCACCACCACCTGTAAACATCTCTCTCATCAACACTTCTCATTTCGTTCACTATGCCAAATCAGGCAGCACAGGTCTTATTTGGTACATGCCCAACTCTGAACTCAATGACACCATCTGTGCTATCGACATTGATTCTCCAACGCATGACTCTCCATCATCTCTGCCACCACCAGAACCTTCTCCTCACTCCTCTCATACTGCAGACAGTGATGTTCTGGCCTCTATCCCATCGAAGTATCTCTCTTGGGCTTCTGTCTTCTCTTCGACAGATGTCGACCAACTGCTTCCTCATCGACCCTATGATATGGCTATTGACCTTGAGGACAGCAAAACTCCTCCGTTTGGCCCGATTTACTCGCTTTCGCAAGATGAGTGCACTGCGCTATTTGAATACATTGAATCCAATCTCAAGAAGGGGTTCATTCGGTGTTCTTCTTTCCCAGCAGCTTCTCCCATTCTGTTCGTATGCAAGAAGACTGGGGAACTGCGTCTCTGCATGGACTATTGTGGTCTCAATTCTATGACAAAAAAGAACCGCTATCCCCTTCTGCTCATCAATGATCTACTTGATCATGTTGAAGGCTGTTACATGTTCTCTGTCCTCGACCTGAAAAATGCTTTCAATTTCATCCGCATCCAGGAGGGTGATGAGTGGAAAACTGCATTTTGCACTCATTTGGGTCTCTTTGAATACACGGTGATGCTGTTCGGCCTCAGCAATGCTCCTGCCACCTTCCAAGCTTTCATTCAAGACACTTGTCATGATCTCCTTGATGTCACCTGTGTCATCTACGTTGATGACATACTCATTTTCTCCCACTCACAAGCTGAGCATGACGTTCATGTTCAACAGGTTCTTCAATGCTTGCAAGCTGCCGGACTCTATGCCAATGCCAAGAAGTGTGAGTTTGACAAATCGTCCGTCAAATATCTCGGTTACATTGTCAGCTCTGAAGGAATCAAAATGAATCCCAAGAAACTCCAAACTGTCTCCGAGTGGCCTGTACCTCGTATGCTCCATGACGTTCAAGCCTTCCTTGAATTCACCAACTTCTATCGCCAGTTTATCGAGAATTATGCTGACAAGGCCCTTGCTTTCAATGCGCTCACCAATAAGGATCCTAACGGGTTTTCATTCACAACTGCTGCCCGTGTGTCTTTCGAAACCCTCAAGGCTTCTTTCCTTTGTGCTCCCGTGCTCCAGCATTTCGATCCATCCCTTCCATCCACTCTCATCACCGATGCATTGGACTTTGCCATCGCAGGTATTCACCTTCAGCCAGCTATTAATGGCATCCTTCATCCTGTCACATTCTTCTCGCGCAAGCTCTTGCCAGCTGAAATCAACTATGAAGTCTATGATAAAAATTGCTTGCTATCATCGACTCCTTTCGCGATATGCGTTCTTGGCTGATTGGTACCTCCACACCTGTCTCGGTCATCTCTGATCACAAAAACCTCGAGTATTTCATGTCTTCTCATGTTCTCAACTGTCACCAGGCTCACTGGTCAATGTTCCTCTCCAAATTCAACTTTCGTTTCGACTATGCACCTGGCTCTCACAACCCTGCTGATGCTTCATCCCATCATTGTGACTTTGCACCTCAAGTGGGGGATGACGTACTTCTACAACAGCGCAAAATGCTTCTCACGGAAACTCACACAGAGCATATCTACCCCGACAACACCCCGCACACTCATTCGACTGCTTTCTCTGCCACCATTGCATCCTTAGTCGCTCTCGCAATTGATAACTCTGAGCTTCTCGAATGCTTTAAGGATGCAACCAAGCATGATGTCGAGTGGTGTGAAGCTGCAGCTGCCGGAAATGAGGACTTCTCCATTCAAGACAATCTCATTTTCCACAAGGGTCGTTTGTACATTTCACCACCTCTGCGATCTGAGGTTCTGAATTCTCGACATGATGCACTAACTGCTGGACACCCTGGACGAGCGTGCACTCTCAGCCTTATTGAACGTAACTATTCCCGGCCTGGCATGTGCACCTTTGTCCATCAATATGTCACTGCCTGCAACACTTGTGCTCACATCAAGACCTCACGACACAAGCTGTTTGGCCTGCTCCAGCCTCTAGACATCCCCAACAGGCCTTGGCACTCAATTTCTATAGACTTTGTCATGAAACTAGGTCCCTCGCATGGCTACAACTCCATTTGGGTGGTTTGCGATCGCCTCACTCGAGCTGCACACTTTGTCCCTTGTTTAGAGACTCTCACAGCTCCTGACCTTGCATACCTCTTCCTTGATCGCATCTTTCATCATCATGGACTTCCAGACTCAATTGTCTCAGACCACGGATCTGTCTTCATTTCCAAGTTCTGGTCCAAGCTTGCACGCCTGCTCAAGATTGACCTTCTACTTTCATGGCCTATCATCTGCAATCTGACGGCCTTACCGAGTGCACTAGTTAAATGCTAGAAACATATCTCCATGCATTCACATCCTACCAACAAGATGACTGGGTCAATTACCTTCCTTTCGTGGAGTTCACCTTCAATAATGCAGTGAATGCTTCCACAAAGCAAACACCGTACTTTGCAAACATTGGCTTCCACCCACCTTCGAACCCCGTCTCACTGCATGCTCAACTGTTCCTGCTGCCACTGATCTTGCCGACCATCTGCAACTCATCCACGATGAGTTGTGTGCTGAACTTGCTCATGCCCAGGACTCTCAAGCTCGATTCTATAATTGTCGCATCTCCCTTGCTCCTACATTCAAGCCCAGTGATCTTGTGTGGCTTCTGCATCACAACATCAAGACCACGTGCCCTTCTGATAAGCTCGATTACTGCAAACTTGGGCCATACCCAATTGCACGTGCATGCAGTTCGTCTTCATTCGAACTTGAACTGCCTTCAGCCATGTCATGACTCCACCTCATTTTTCAAGACTCCCTGCTCGAGCCATATCAACTGCCCACTGACGTTCTTCATCACAATGCTGCCTATCCCGCACACATCAAGCTTCAGTTCGATCTTTCGCAGATCAAGATGTTCCTCGACTGTCGCAAAGTCAGTTGTCGATATGACTATTTCATCCACTGGAAGGATCGACCCATCTCTGAGTGATCATGGCTCTCCCTCTCTGACATTCCCTCTTCACTAAATGAGCAGCTTGAGCAGTTCCACCACTGGCACCCAAAGCTGCCTCGTCCACATCATGTCATTCTTGACCAATG